AGCGGAATATGGAGAAGCGAGGTTTTAGCGCTCTGTAATTCGAGTATCGAACGCGTAACGGTGTTTTCAGACGTTCATGCATACGTAGTCGAAAGCGGAGAGTGCAACACGTGGTAAAATGTTTCACGGAGTATCAAATAATCATGGCAAATCCGTATCGACCGACTTATCCCACATTAATACCTATATTTTATGCTTACCGCAAGCGGTATTAGTCCATGCGATGTTTGCACGTAATAATGGATCATTCGCCATTTGTTTTTACTCCTTCAGCCAATAGAATGATTACGCCCGGCATGAAATTTTGAACTTATTCCATCGTCTCTCCCCCCTGAAAAACTGGAAATGCGCAATCGATTCGCGTGTTTTCAATGTTTTTTTCGTATTAAACGTCGCCGTGAAGAATGGCACACTGCATGGACTGCCGGTCCCGATCGTTTATTTGTAACGATAGAAATAATTTAAAAGACAAAGAAGATGGAAAAGTGAACGGTGGAAAGCAAACGGAACGTTAGGGGAAGGAACGTTCTTCGTCAATTGAAGAGTCGAGATAGTCGAATAACGTGATTGTTAGGAAACATTTATCGGAAAGAGGCAGCACATAACGATTATCATTATAAAAATATGTTTTTCTATTGCGAAATATCGTATGTAACTACTAATAGAATAATTAATAGAAAAATACATTTTGTTTCGAGTAAATAAATTATTCTTACGGAAATCAATTGATTATTCCAACGATGTATTTTGAAAATATTTTACAAGCAGATTTACCTATCAATTTTAAAACAACGACGGAATTAAAATTTTATTCAATATTTAAATGCTTTACAGGCGGAATGCTCCTGTTGAAATAACGTTTATCTGTATTTAATTGGAATTTTATTCCAAATGAGAAATCTAGTTATTACGAAATATTCTTCGCACGAAATTAAACTTAATCTGTCAGTAAGAAATTTTATCTATCTGTATTTAATTGGAATTTTCTTTCAAATGTGAAATCTAATTGCTAAATTGTTATTTCATTGCACAAAATTGAACCTAATTTGTCAATAAGAAATTTTTGTCTACCTATGTTAAACCTAATTTATTAATAAGAAATTTTATTTATCTATATTAAACCTGATTTATCGATGGATAAAAAATTTTATCCATCTATAATTCAATTTTTTCCAAATGAGAAGTCCAATTTCTCCGCGCGAAATTGAACCTAACTTATTAGTAAGAAATTTTATCTGTCTGTGTTTAATTTGGAATCTTTTCCGAGTGAGAGATCTAGTTACCAATTTCTTTGAACAGAATTAAACCTAATTTAGTAACAAAATTTAATCTATAAGAATAAGAAGAATAGGTTAAAATTATCTATAAATCGCAGGAAAGGGAAACTTGATTGACATTCTTTTCAACAATAATCAACTATATCACCTGAAATGTGTAAGCGCGTCAAGGTTGTAGAAGCATAAAAGTCATTGCTGCCAGTGATTCCGTGGCCGCATCGTAATCTCTTGATCTTCTTACTTAATTAGCGGCGGAGTATGTTCGATTAATCATCATAAATAATTTCACGCCGCTGATGGATTCACCATGCAACGAGCACTGCCGTTTCTACGCCGACGTCAATGGACTTACGTGTGAACGTGTGGTGGCTTCAGCCGATTTTGCCAGTTAATCCTCACCCTTGGGAACCGTTTAGCCTGGACAATCGGCCACTGTAATTGGACGAGAGTCTGTTGAGGTCTCGTCAAGACGTTCGTCAAGAACGACGACAATCAGCAATCAACACACGAAATTGTTGCCGCAAGTTGTTGTCACTATCGATGGATAATTTTGTGCGATTAGATAAATCTCTCGAACGCTGTCTCTCTTTTCCTTTTCTTTCTTTCTTCTTTTTTTTTTAGATATTTTCTGCATTTTTATGAATTAAAAAAAATGGACAAACTACGAATTGTGATCAATTATTGATACTACTAAAATTGGAAAACTTATATAAGTTTGACTGTATATAAACTTTGCTTCAAAGATGTACGTACATACATGTAGCATTTATACAGATTACTCGGAAGAATAATCTTAGGATAGGTTACTTAATTTCAGTAAGTCGAGTAACCTACGTGTTATCGATGAATAATTTTGAGCGATTAGATAAATCTCTCGAACGCTATCTCTCTTTTCCTTTTCTTTCTTTCTTCTTTTTTTTTTAGATATTTTCTGCATTTTTATGAATTAAAAAAAATGGACAAACTACGAATTGTGATCAATTATTGATACTACTAAAATTGGAAAACTTATATAAGTTTGACTGTATATAAACTTTGCTTCAAAGATGTACGTACATTTACTCGGAAGAATAATCTTAGGAAGAATAATCTTAGGTTACTTAATTCCAGTAAGTCGAGTAACCTACGTTTCAGCTAGTCAATGACTTTGCTCCAACCTGCAGTCCTAGGTTTGTAAAACCACCTCCGTCAAACTTACAATTAACCTAACCTCCAGCGCGTTCACCATTTTGAATCTGTCTGTGCGACGTTCGAAGCGAAGAGAAATTCGTCGGGAGGGAAGGGATTTGCTTAAAGGGTGGCATTCTCTATTAAAGAATCGGCAGAGGAACGACGTCGTTCTCCAGTGGAGAGGACGCCGTTGTACAGCGACGAAGGAGATATTACATTCATTAGTCAGACAGCGGAGGGGGCGGTGAGCGTTTACACGAGCACGCGCCAGAATTCCAGTGGAGTGGTGGCAAGTGTGCCCGATAGTGGGGGCAGGAGGCTGGAGATCGGTTGTCCAATAGGAAGCAAAGGGAAATTCAGCTCCCGGGCGGAGCATTCGAATATACCAGACACTCCGCTCGCGTCCTTCTGTCAAACGGCGCTGAGCCGTCAAGCGAGCAGACAGTGTTGTCGCCCAACACCTTTGGAGGGAAGGAAAATCTTCGAGGATCATTCCGAAGAAACAACCCACCATCTGTCTTTCGAGTCAGTGACAAACGGCCAGTCGTTCGAAACATCATCGTACGCATCGTCGTTCCAATTGTCGTACAACTATATCAAATGATCCTCAAGAGATATCATCCGTTTTACAAGTGAAAAACTGTCTCGTCGAGAGCCAGAGAGTCTCGTCGTTGCTCGCAGAACTTTGTCAAATGAAGAAGAACGTTGGAAGACTCGACTGTGCACGTTAGCATCCACAAGTGCTTCTAGCAAGTCACGTAAAATGGAAACGGTCGACACATCGAATACATGGTTGGTTTAAGAGGGAAGAAATTGGCAGAAACGTACGTCAGTATGTTGCATAGTTCGCTGCCGCGGGCATTCTTGGCCCCTGGACTGAATTATCTGGGCTACTACGGTGACGAGATTCACCAGCATTCGTACGGCGCGCCTGCCAGTTGGCACATTCCTATGGAGAACCCTTCGAGCTACTCGAGGGCCCCTGATCATCTTCAGACTTGGGACCTGTCCAGATCGTCCACCCCGTGTCCCCTGGACTTGTCTCTGAAACCTCCACCCACGCCGAGTACACCGAAAACCGAGGATCTCGTCGTAGATACCAAGAAGGAACATCAGAGAACGCTGGACGATGGGCAGAAAGAATCGGAAAGTACCAGGTACAGAAGGAACAGCGACGAATCGGGTTCTCTGATGGTCGATGATTTTGACGCACTTCCACGAAGTTCCTCGGTGCACAGTCATTCCAGCTACGAAGCATCCGGGCTGATGTCCAAGAAGGAACCGCTCCAGGAATCGACGGTCAAAGCTTGCAGCAGCCTGGTGGAAGACCAGGCGACCAAGTTAACTCCGTTTGGCGCAACCTCGAACGAGATCGCTTCCAATTATTACACGCACAATCAGAAGCTTCTGTTGACCAGCCCTAGCCAGCTTCAGTCGATGCAAGGCTACCACCAGCAGCTTCTTCTAACCCCGCAGCATCACCTGCAAGGGATGCAACACGCTCCGATGACTCCGCCGAGCACGCCATCGCCTCCTCAGTGCCCAAGGCGGAAAGTAAGGGACGAAGACTCGAGCCCTGCCTCGACCACCAGCAACAACAACGGCGGCACGTTGTCCAACAGCTCGAGATCCAACGGTCCCAGCGAGAAGGTTCTCCAGAGACCGAAGAAGAAGCACGCCAGACGATTGAAATTCGACGAAGACACCAGCAGCCCGGTGTCGGGCACCGTGATCTTGGGCCCGGACGAGGCTGTGGTCACCGGAGACATCGATCCAGCGTTCAACATCGTTGAAGTCACCGAGGAGGCGCGTGCAGAGCTGGCTAAAATCGAAAACAGGCTCGGCCCGTATCAGTGCAAGCTCTGCAGGCAACTGCACGACGACGCGTTCCAGCTGGCCCAGCACAGGTGCTCCAGGATAGCCCACGTCGAGTACAGATGCCCGGAATGCGACAAGAGATTCTCGTGCCCGGCGAACCTGGCCTCTCACAGACGCTGGCACAAGCCAAGGTTGGCCAACGGGGAACACTCGTCGTCGTCGTCGTCGTCATCGTCGTCGTCTTCGTCGTCGTCGTCGTCGTCGTCCACCGGGAGTATCGAGATACCGTGCACCAGGTGCGACGCCAAGTTCACCAGGCAAGCAGCGTTGAGGAAACACCTGGCCAGCCAGCATCCGGAGACCAGCAGCAACAACAACAACAACAACAACAACAACGTGGTGCTAGAGCAGGGAGCTGTTGGTAAGACTGACGTCGTCCCGGTGATTTCCGAGGGTACGTTGAACTCCGAGATCGCCTGACACCAGTTCCCCGCGAGACCCTTACCCAGGAGACCAGGACTCTACTGGAGGTTCGGTCTTGATTTGTAAAGATCGAGTCCCCTCCGCCAGTGGAGGGTTTCTTACAGAGTTTGAACCCTTTGGAAGTTACTTGAAAATTTTTCAAAGTACGAATATATAATCTTTATTCTTTGCATTCCCTTTTGTTCCCCTCGGCAGAGAAAGAGAGAGAGGATTCTTCTCAATTTTCTCAGTTCTTCGAAGTATACTTTAATTTCTCTTTCTCTCGTTAGAGTCGTAACAAGTGCAATTTTACGTTAATATCCTCTCTGCGTATAATAACAGCACACCTTTCCCAAGTGTTCATTCAACAGACTGCACGTATCTTATAGTTCTCAGAATTACCATTAGTTTAACATAACGCGAAGAAGCTCATCAAATTATATATATTGGACATTGGCAAAGAAACTTGCAAGTAATAACTGAGAACTGGTCTTTTTTTAAAAAAAACCAATCGCGACCATTCGTTACTTTGCTTCTCTGACGGCGAGACATCGGTCATTTGACGGTAAAAGATTTCGATTTTCCCGAAAAACTCGAGACAATAATCGCCGTTCCAACGGGACAATTAAATACCTATTTATGTATGTACTTACGGGCGACACGAGGAGGAGGGGGGGGGGGAGGGGCGAATTGGACTGTAAATTTGCATTAGTATTAAAATTAGCGAAACGAGGGGCGGGATGAATGCAACGTAGTGGCGATGTAAATCTGTAGATAGTAGGGAGAAGTCGCAGTGCTATAAATCCGGCAGTGCGTGTACATATATATACCTGGGCTGGCACACGATTGATCTGTGTTGTAACATTTAGCCAACCCAGTCGACGATTCGTCATCTTTCATATTAGGTCGTAAGTGAACATATGTTATTCTGCATTTATTTAAGTATCCCTCGGTATAGGCCGAATTTAAATTAAATTAACTCACCGATCGAAGCTCGGCGCGAACCGGGCGAATCGTGATCATACAGCTGAATCAAAGATAGTTAAGACGATGAAACTAGTGTGCATCTAGTCAGACAGGGTCATCAACAAGTATTCGTTGATTACTTTTAACCTATATATAGGCTTGTAAGTACCGCCTAAGATAGATAGTTTCTAATCGTGCAAATTAGATTTCGATATATTTCGCGAAAATTCGCGAAAATCGAGGAGCCATCCTCCGTAGCCGCGTATATTAAGTCGCGCAATAAGTCACTGATTGTAGAGAGAAACTGTCGTAAAGAACGTACGGATATATAGCGAAAGAATTAAATAATCGTTTCGAACCATTCGTTGTTTTATTAGACTGCGAACTTTTATGGAAAATCGGACACATCGTATTCGTACAAATGACATTTAGCCGGGTAAAGGAAATTTCTTCTTTTTTTTAATTACACTCAGGAAAGTACGAATTTGCATAAATATCCGTGTTCTTAATTTGTTATTAACCACCTGTTAACTGGCTATGTTTCTCAATAGAGGCAAGATGTGTTGATTCACTTCGTTTCTACCAAATGGAACTATATATTTTATAAAGATATAAATGAAAAATTCACTCGCGAAATTGTTTCAATTCTCTGAGAGCATGATTGTAAGTGGAATGTACGCGCGCGTGTGTAATAAGGAGTTGCTTCTAGTCACTAGTCAGACAGCATAGCGATCATTACGCCAAACCGATAGCAATTGTATCTAGTCGGAGAGTAAGGATGTATCCACTATTATACAGAATGTACTCTAACAACGTGTATCATATAAACAGGAACATATGATAGTGATTGAAAATTCGTAGTTAATCGAAACTCGATGTCTATCGAATATATTTCTTTTTCACCGGGAAATATCTTCAGTTCTTTTCCAGAGCGTAAAATCTTTAACATACTTCTTCCCGTATATTCAAACGTATTTAAACAACAAATTATTTCCTCGCAATAT